TAAATTTAAAACCCATTTCTAAATGTAATTCACAAGCCCTAATCATCCCTCACCGCCTAAAATACTCATTTAGAAATTAGAATCATTTCCCTCTTTTTTTTTTCCTTTTTATTTCTAATAAATTGAATCTTATTCAACTTTAAGTGAAAGCGAATTCTCTCGGGAAAATTTTCCTTTCAGTAATGTTAACCACATTAGTCAATAAATTTCTAAGCAAACGTACAAATCAAAACCAAAAAAAAAAAAAAAAAAAACCCTTTAATTACACACCAAAATGAGTTGATTTAGACTAATTATAATGTTTTATTCAACTAATAATATTATAGATAAAATACTATTATAAAAATTATAATGTAATATTAAATAAATATAATATGAATTTGTCTAATTTGTATTATAAAAATATAGATTAAAGGTGTGTTAAATATACTTTTTCATTATAAATTTGTATTGAAAAAATAAAAATTAATTTTTAATTTATTAATTATTTAATTAAATTTACCTGATATTAAAATTAATATTAATTTATATATTTATAATGAAAAATACTCTTAATTTGTACCAGATACATGTTAAAAAATTCATATAATATAAATATAATATTTTATTAAATAAATAAATATATGTAATATTAGCACTTGCTCCTTATGACCCAATAACTAATGCCATTAAAAAAGTGCATATCGTCTCTTCTGAGCGGGGGTTCGAAACCTGTCACATGACAAAAAAAAAGTTCAAAAAAAATATATGTAATATTAAAATTGAATATTTAAATAAAAAATAAATTATATAATAATTTATATTATAAATTCATAATATCAGTTAATATTGTAAGAAAACTATTTAGGTAATTCAAGTGACAGGCCGATGTGGATTGTCCGCCAACTTAAACGCGGATTAGAGACTGATTAGGTTAGGTATTTAACCGACACGTTAACTAACGTTCGGATGGAGGGCATTTTCGTAGTTTCACACATCCCAACAGGCAAAAAGGAAGGGCATTTTGGTCAGAGAAGGTAAACGGTCGAGAACTCCGGAACAGGGCCTCCACTCTCGGTGAAAAGAAAGGAAATCTGATTTCAGTCGACTGTCTGCTGTGTTCATAATTCACTCTCTTTTTCCCCCCCTCACAAGAAAAAAAGGGAGAGGACCGTAACCAAACAAGACATCATTCTTGTCGCCGGGAATTGGATTCTTAGCTTTCCTCGGTGATTCGGGATTTGCATTCCCTGAAAGGAATTTCGCAGCATCCACTCGAAAACCAGTTTCCGGCAACTGAATTCCACAGTTCTCCTCCGATCTCTTTCTTGTTTGTTTCCCGTAATCGGTCGAAAATGGCGAAGCGTGGATATAAGCTGCGTATCCTTACTAACATTCTTTTGTTTTGTTGAGATGCTTAGTTATGGTATCATAGCAATTTATAGCAATATTGAAGTGAATTTCTTTGATTTGTTTTTTTTTTTTACTGTTCTGTTTGGTTGCTAGGAAAATGGAAGGAAAAAGGAAAGGGAAAAAAAATGATTTGAGTAACATCTGTTTTTCATTGTGCTGGTTACTATGAGTTTTGCATTTTCTTTTCCTTGACTGAAATGGATGTAGAGGAATTTGTGGCTCATTCTGCAGATGTGAATTGTCTAGCCATGGGAAAGAAGGCGTGTCGGCTTTTGATTACTGGTGGAGATGATTACAAGGTCAATCTATGGGCAATTGGAAAGCCTACTTCGTTAATGAGTCTTTGTGGCCATACAAGTTCAGTTGAATCTGTAGCTTTTGATTCTGGAGAAGTCTTGGTGCTCGCCGGGTCATC